TTGGTTCTTGGGTCGCCCTCCCCACCCAAGGTCCCGCCTGCCCTGCGCGTGGCAGTAACTGGCAGCCATGGGAGGAAGCTGGCTGGAGTGTCGCACCCTGTCATCTGGCCTCCCTTCTTTTGTGGCTGCTCAGGCCTTGGAGGCTGAACTTCTCAGCCCTGGCCTTGGGCAGAGGCGTGGAGGCATGTCCCCCAGCGTCGGTCTGGAGCTGGTGCCTGGACTGTCGTGGAGATGCTGGAGAGAAGGGTGGGTGTCGTGTCGTCTTTCTGCGGGGAGGCTAAGCTGCGATCCTGCCTGTGGCCTTGGCTTTGCAGGCTGTCAGTGTCCTTGTGTAGGAGGAGACTGAGAACACCACAAAGCGGAAGATGGGGGAGGAGACTGAGAACGCTACAAAGCAGAAGATGGGGGGCAGGGGGCAGAGTAAGGGAGAGGAGAAAAAGAAGAGGGAATGGAGCAGGAAAAGAAGAGGAGGGTGGGAGGAAGGAAGGAAGGAAAGAGGGAGGGAGGGAGGAAGGGAGGGAGGGAGGGAGGAAGGAAGGAAGGAAGGAAAGAGGGAGGGTGGGAGGAAGGAAGGAAGGAAGGAAGGAAGGAAGGAAGGAAGGAAGGAAGGAAGGAAGGAAAGAGGGAGGGTGGGAGGAAGGAAGGAAGGAAAGAGGGAGGGAGGGAGGAAGGAAAGAGGAAGGGAGGGAGGAAGGAAGGAAGGAAAGAGGAAGGGAGGGAGGAAGGAAGGAAGGGAGGGAGGGAGGCAGGCAGGCAGGCAGGCTGGCTGGCTGAAACTACCCTCCTGTACCTAGCAGGCAAGTTCAGGGCTGCACCCCGGTACCGCAGGCTGGCCTCTTGGTTTGCCAGGAGAGCCCAGATGAGTCTGTACCATGAGAAGTGCACACGCACCCCCTGCCGGCCGTGCTCCGCCCCTGCAAGGCTGTGTGTCCTGAGAGTTTCTGCCAGCTAACTTGGGTACACCGCCCCCAAACAATTGCCCCACAGGGTTGTTTTTGTGTGTGAAAATACTGAACAGAGGGGTTACAATTACATGGGCAAGATAATGAGTACATTTCTTATCAAGTATTGTAGCCTCCTCCTTTGTTTCCCCTTCCCATCCCTTCCCATCCTCCCCCTGCCCCCCTCCCAATCCTCCCCCACACAGGGTTCTTTAGGATATGCTACAGCTTACAGTAAAGGAAAAGCGATAAGGGTGTGTGTGTGTGTGTGTGTGTGTGTGTGTGTGCGTGCGTGTGTGTGTGTGTGTGTGTGTGTGTGTGTGTGTGTGTGTGTGTGTGTGTTGTTCCTGGGGCTTGAACTCAAGGCCTGGGTGCTATCCCTTAGCATTTCACTCAAGGTGAGTAGTGTTCTACCACTTGAGCCACAGCTACACTTCTGGCTTTTTGGTAGTTAACTGGAGATGAGTTTCATGGACTTTGCTGTCAGGGCTGGCTTCAAACCGTGATCCTCAGATCTCAGCCTCCCAAGTAGCTAGGCTTACAGGTAATGAGCCACCCGTGCCATCTTAGCAATGAGGTTTCAAAACCTGATAGACGTGGGCTGGGAAGGTGGCTCAGTGGTAGAGTGCTTGCCTTGCATGCATGAGGCCCTGGGTTCGATTTCTAAGTACCACATAAGCAAAAAGTAAAAAGCCGGAAGTGGCGCAGTGGCTCAAGTGGTAGAGCGCTAGCCTTGAGCTGAAGAGCTGAGGGACAGCGCCCAGGCCCAGAGTTCAGGCCCCATGACCGGACCCCAAAAAAACCTGATAGACGTGTCCCCACGTTGAAACTTTCTAGGAGTTCCTACCTGCACCCAGGTCGGCTCTGAGCTGGGGCTCGGAGAGACGCCAGCCTGCTGGAACAGGACGACCCATGGGATGGGAGGCGGGGAGCACAGCGTTTCACAACTCACGTACCCCAGTCCTGTCCAGCCAGACCCACTTGGTGAACTACCACTCACGTAGGCCCCCTACCCCATCTCTCCACAGCCTCTGGCCTGGAGACAGAGCCGGCTTATTTTCCCTAATGCACAAGCGGTGGGGAGGTCCTGGTGGGCCCAGAGTCAGGAGGACATCTGTGGAAGAGGCCCCTTCCATCGCGCATGCTCAGGAGCCAACGGACCCTGGGGTCCAGCTGCAAAGCTCCTACTCCTACAAGAGCCACAGCATGCAGAAACACCTCTTCAAACCCTGAGTCCCTGGGGTGGGGGGTGGGGGCGGTGGTGAGCTCACTACCAAGGCCCAGGCTTTCACGAGGGATACAGCATGGCAGGGGGTGTCTCTGTACGCTCCAGCTGCTGTAACAAAACCCCACACTGGAGCCTTGTCAGCACTACACATTTACTCCTCACGGTCCTGAAGGCCTCCACGTGAAGCTGAGGGGCCACAAAAGCCAGCGCCCCGCAGCAAGTGACCTGATGACATCTGTCTCCACGCACCAAAGGCGAGAGGAACAGGTGAACCGGTGTCAGCTGACCTCATGGCAGATGTCCTCATTGGGATGAGTGGTGGTGGGCACCTCGGAGGCCCTGGAGGCCCTGCACCTGCCAAGGAGACCAGAATGGCGCCGGCCTGGACATCCACGTCCAAGCCACAATGCGGGGACCAGAGCCCATTCTTCTCCAGTGGCTTTGCCTAAGTTCTCCCTTAGTCTTTTCACCGAATGTTTTCAGTATGAAATATCTCCTGCAGAGTGACCAAGCAAGCTGAATGTGAATGCTGTGCGTGCGTGTGCGTGGTGTGTTGGGTTGGGAGGTGCGTGCTGGATGTGAATGCTGTGCGTGCCTGTGTGTGGTGTGTTGGGTTGGAAGGTGCGTGCTGGATGTGAATGCTGTGCGTGCCTGTGCGTGGTGTGTTGGGAGGTGCTTGTTGGATGTGAATGCTGTGCATGCCTGTGCGTGGTGTGGTGGGTAGGGAGGTGCGTGCTGGATGTGAATGCTGTGTGTGCCTGTGCGTGGTGTGGTGGGTTGGGAGGTGCATGCTGGATGTGAATGCTGTGCGTGCCTGTGCGTGGTGTGTTGGGTTGGGAGGTGCGTGCTGGATGTGAATGCTGTGCGTGCCTGTGCGTGGTGTGTTGGGTTGGGAGGTGCGTGCTGGATGTGAATGCTGTGCGTGCCTGTGCGTGGTGTGTTGGGTTGGGAGGTGCGTGCTGGATGTGAATGCTGTGCGTGCCTGTGCGTGGTGTGTTGGGTTGGGAGGTGCGTGCTGGATGTGAATGCTGTGCGTGCCTGTGCGTGGTGTGTTGGGTTGGGAGGTGCGTGCTGGATGTGAATGCTGTGTGTGCCTGTGCGTGGTGTGTTGGGTTGGGAGGTGTGTGCTGGATGTGAATGCTGTGCGTGCGTGTGCGTGGTGTGTTGGGAGGTGCTTGCTGGATGTGAATGCTGTGCATGCCTGTGCGTGGTGTGTTGGGTTGGGAGGTGCGTGCTGGATGTGAATGCTGTGTGTGCCTGTGCGTGGTGTGTTGGGTTGGGAGGTGCGTGCTGGATGTGAATGCTGTGAATGCCTGTGTATGGTGTGGTGGGTTGGGAGGTGCCTGTGCATGGTGTGTTGGGTTGGGAGGTGCGTGCTGGATGTGAATGCTGTGCGTGCCTGTGCGTGGTGTGTTGGGTTGGGAGGTGCGTGTGTTGTGTGTATTTATTCGTGGGCGCTCATTCCTGTCCACTCTGTGGGACAGGCTGGCTGAGGAGGAGGAGGAGGCCCTGTGCTGTGGAGGATGCAGGCTGCCATCCCTGCTCACTAGCTGACAGCAGCGCCCCCTAGGGAAAAACAGCCAAAAAATATGTCTGCAAATGTCCAAGGATACCCAGAAGGACAAGACCCCAGACCAAGAACCAGGGCTCCACAGGGAAAGTGTGATGATGTATAGTAATGTTGTATAGTAATCAACTATTTAGTCATGTAAAAAGAAGGGTGTTCCTTAATATTTTGTTTCCTGTTTGTCAAAAAAAACCCAAACACACACAAATGAAAAGATCTTCACAGTAGTCTTTACCGCAAGTAAACTAAGTTTATTATAATTTTAAACTAGTTATAGAAAAATACGCACAAAGATCTCCCCTAAGTGTCAATCTTCCTTAGGAGATGTAAAAATATGTGTAAGCTTTGAGCGGGCATCTTGACTTTAAGTACATAGTTGTCCCCTGTAGGGTTGGTCTCAAGGCTTCCTGGGCACCCCCAAACTCCATGGATGCTCAAGGCTCTTATGCAAAACAGCCTCATGATTGCATAGAGGCTACACTGGCTCCGTAGACTGAAAACTCTCTCTCAGTGACATAATACCAGTACACAGTGCAGCCTCCACGCAGGTGGTTGTATTGCTTAGGAAACAATGACAAGGAAAATATTTGTACAGGTTCAGTAGAAACATGATTTTTAATATTTTTATGCAAAGTATGCAGAACAGAGAACTCGTGGATCTAGAAGTCCAGCTATATATCTTCAAAAATAGTTCTGAATGTAAGAAATGTTTCACAAATATGCTTATTTTGTGTAGTCACTTTAAAAAAAAACGTCATAAACACTCTAAAATCAGCAATGGAAAGCTAAAAGTTAAGTCTGGAACATTCACTTGATAGACTGTAATAAAGCATCAAAATACTCCTAAACAGTTACGACATGCAGGGGAAAGGTTTTCTTATACTCCTAGGTGAAAATAAAACAGGGTGCAAAGCTGAAGTGGGGGGGGGGCTGGGACAGTAGTGAAGAACCAGACACCTCTCAAAGCCAAAAGAATTTTTTTTTTTAATTGCAAGACAGGTACTGATGACTCCCACCTGTAATCCTAGCTACCTAGGAGGCTGAGATCTGAGGATTGAGGTTTAAAGCTGGCCGGAAGTAGACCTGTGGCTCAAGTGGTGGCGTGTCATCCTTGAGCAAAAGTTCTAAGAGACAGAGCCCAGACCGTGAGTTCAAGCTCCAGTACCAGCACACAGAAAAGCGGGCAGAGGGAGGTGGGCCTGAACATCAACCTAAGATCACAGTGTTTGAAAATGAAGTATCTCAGTTTGAAGGAAAGAAAGTGACGTGGGTTTGATTAAACTGAACAAAGAAGAGATTCCCGCCCTTGTGAGTTGGATGTTGGCCCTCCCCGGAAGTGATGGGCGATTCCAGCCCTCAGAAGGGGACAATGGAGCAGACAATGGCCGACCAGCCTGCATTTGTCAGACAATATTTGCCCAGCCGGTGGCCCTGGCGCCTTCTCCAATTGTGTGGAGCCAGACTATATCTTACAATAGACCTCAAAGAGGGAGGCAGCTGCGTGCATTCGGTAGAAGATAGAGAAAGGCATGGCCAGGTTGACCACAATGATCCAGGGCTCAAAGCCGAAGACGATCTCTTCCAGCCCATTGTCGTACTCGGGGCGACAGCCAAAGGCAGGGGGGATCCACAGCTGCAAGAGAGGAGGGGGTCCAGTTACTGGGCTGCGCTGGCGGGCTCAGGAGGGCGGGGGACACGGAAGGCACTGGCTTCCACAGTGGACCAGCCCATGGATGTGTGCAGGGCTTGGTTGGCTGGGAGGGGCGGGCCTAGCTGGAGGAAGTGGGAGGGGCCTGACTTTGAAGAACCCTCCCTGTGTCTCTCTGCTTCCTGGCCACCATGAGTGAGCAGCTTTCCTCACTGCTCCCATCCGCCCTGCAGATTCTACCTCACCAAGGGCCGAAAAGCCATAGGAACAGCTGATGATGGGCCAAAATCTCTGAAACCGTGAGACAAAATCAGTCCTTCCTCGTGTGTTTCCTCTGCGGCACTTTGCAGTGAAAAGCGAAGATGCCATCGGTCCCATGCCTGAGAATCCCCACTGCCATGGATGTGGGCCCACGTCCACAGAGCTGGAGCCACCCTAGGCAGGGTGAGGAGGAGACTCTGTCCCCAAGTTCCTCATCTCCATCCGGCCCATGAACCTGTGATGAGCTCAGATCTTCACCACTGCTGTGCTCAGTCTCAAAGAGCAGCTGTGATGACAGGCATGTACCACCATGTCCAACTTATTTGTTGGGATGGGGTCTCAGTCACCTTTCCCCTGGGCTAGCCTTGGAACTACTATGCTCCCAATCTCCACCTCCTGATTAGCTGGTATTACAGGTGTGCCATACCACAGACCCCATACACTTATTCCCATTATGAGTGGCTCTCCTGCCTTATTTTAAAAAAGGCAGGGAAAACATAATTTGACAATTACCGAAATGTTGCCAAAGAAGAGGAAGGCTGTGATATTCCTGAGGGCCCTTCTCTTGGAGTGGCCCTGCAGGAGCCAGGGGTGGCAGGCCGGGCCCGGGGCCCCCTCCCATCTCCTCTCCTGCTCCTCTTTGCCGCAGCGGGGGTGCAGACACAGGCTCCCATTGGTAGTCTGTGGCGTGTCCCCACCCGGGGGCATGGCCTCCCCTGCCGGGCTGGGGACCGGGGCCGGGGCGTCCCCACTGCAGACGGTGACCACCCGGAGGGTGCGGATGTCCTCGGCGCGGCCCTCGGGCTCGCGGTGGACCGACTCGATGATGAACAGGTTCTGGATGTACTTCTCCAGGATCACCAGCGTGGCGTAGGGCAGGTTGTACCAGGTGTAGGGCGGGCAGGTCTCAGCACAGACAAAGGCCAAGATGGAGCCCCAGGAGATGAGCCAGGAGCCTGAGGCGGTGCCCACCAGCAGGTCGGTATCCAGCTTGCGAGCTGGGCTTTTGGACTCGTCCAGCGACTTCTCGTCCAGCCTGTAAATCCCGATGCCCACCAGGCCAGCGGCCGCCATGAGCAGCAGCAGGGCGCTGGCGTACAGGTAGAACATGGTGAGTGCCGACTCGCTCTTGCTCTTGGAGCGCCCGATGTGGACCAGGTAGACGGCCACGATGCCGATGGTGGCGGCCAGCACGGCCAGGCCCAGCGCTGAGCCCGGCAGGACCCCATTGAACCTGAACCGCACCCTGCGGTGCTGGGCACCGTCCACCTCGCGGCCGATGTTCTTCCACAGGACATAGAGCATGGTGGAGGCCAGGATCTGGTACTCGATGTTGAAGGGGTACAGGTAATAGATGCCGTGGGCGATGGCAGAGCAGAGGCCGGGGGGCGTGCAGTTGCACTGGGGGCTGTGGTCATCCAGAACTGGGGAGCGACAGAGCACAGGAGAGGGGGGTCAGCGTGGGCAGAGACGCACAGAGCGGGGGACGGGGGCGCGGTGCGTCTGGCTCTGCAGACACAATCTCCCTCTCAGTGTAGGCTGCAGTCCAAACAGCTAGACGCACGGCATAACATCAACTATAAATACATAACAGTATCGTACATAAAAATACACCAAATGTGAAGCATTTGAATTGTGTTTCTGGGTAGGTGCTATGGTGGATCTTTCTTTTTTGGGGGGGTAGAGGTGGGGATCCGGTCGTGGGGCCTGACCTCTGGGCCTGGGCGCTGTCCCTCAGCTCTTCAGCTCAAGGCTAGCGCTCTACTACTTGAGCCACAGTGCCACTTCAGGCTTTTTTCTTTTTGCTTATGTGGTGCTGAGGAATCGAACCCAGGGCCTCAGGCATGCAAGGCAAGCGCTCTACCACTGAGCCACCTTCCCAGCCCCTGAATCTTTCTTTATACTTAATCATTTTAATTTTTTTTTCTGGTGTGGGGTTTGAACTCTGGGCCTGGGCGCTGTCCCTCAGCTCTTCAGCTCAAAGCTAGCATTCTACCACTTAAGCCACAGCACCACTTCCAGGTTTTTCTATTTATGTGGTGCTGAGGAATTGAGCCCAGGGCTTCACACCTGCAAGACTCTACCATGGAGCCACCTTCCCAGTCCCAAGGTCATTTTAATTTATAATGTTCACAACCCCTCTTTGTAAATTTATCCAATCTCAGCTTTCACAGAGGGAATTCAGTTGCTGCCTTGCTGTGTGACCCTGGAGGCATTACTTGACTTCTCGGTGGCTCATGGCCTGGCCCGTGTCCACACGAGAACCCCAGGGCCGCTTTGGTTATCGCCGCCACCACCGTTACCATCATTGCTACCATGGCAGGAATGTCACACAAACCAGAGGTGGAGAGGGGCCGGTCCTCCCCAGGGGCTGCCGGGGGGTGGGGAAGAAGTGCGTATCCTGACACCCCTGAGAGGAGGCTCAGAATCGCCCTCAGCCTGGCTTGGCACAGCTAGAGGAACCACGTATACAGCAAAGAGCAGGTCCCCTCACCGGCCAGAGATCAGGCATAAGCACAGAGAGGCTGAACAGCTTCCAAAGGCCACACAGCTAGTACCCAGTGCTGACAAGAACCGGACCTGACCTATCTCGTTCTCATCACAGTGCCCATTTTCCTACCTGCTCTCCACCCTGACACCCAAAGACAAGTGGTAGACCATAACTGCTGAGGTTTGGGGTGGGTGGCAGGTTTGGTGGCTCACACCTGTGATTCTAATACTATACGGGAGGCTGGCGGTCAGAGGATTGAAGCTTGAGGCCAGCTCTAGGGAAAAAACAAAACACAAAACCGGGGTTCAAAAATAACTGAAGCAAAAGCGCTGGGAGCATGGCTTGGTTCAAGTGGTAGAGCACCTGCCTAGCAAGTCTGAAGCCCTGAGTTCAAATCCTAGTGCAAGAGAGAAAGAGATAGAGAACACCCTGGAAGAACACTCCAGGCTCCAGGCTCTCACCTGGGAACAAAGGATAATAGGGCGATGAGCCAGAAAAGCCAGCCAAAACCTTCAGCTAAACTAGGACCCAAGGAGCCCAGTCTACCATCCGCCTTCCATGGAGAATTAAGCCATGCTTTTAATAGAAAGATTAATTAAAAACCCAAACATAGCCCCCAGCCTCGTGGTGAAGAGCAGGGGCGTGGTTTCTCAGACTAGGGGACGTGAGACCTAGCGTGCCCGACCCTCGGCCCGCAAGCCTGCAACAGGGAAGCCAGAATTACTCTCCAGCCCCTGCTGGGGAGGCTGAGACCTGCATGGGGGGGGGGGGGGGACACAGGGGGCAGCTCCCACGCTCACCTATGGTGATATTACCGAAGCCCAGCGTGATCAGACGCGCCTTGTGCTCGTTCAGCTGGTGCTTGGACTCGTTCAGCACGCTGTTGGCCCACAGCAGCAGGTTGGTGAACACGGAGTGGATCACCCCAAACCTGAGACACAGCGCCAGTACCTGAGGGGGTGCCCAGCCCCGGGGGATGGGGGACAGGGAGAAATGCCACACATACAGACATGTACTCACACCATACACACATGCGCATACGTGTACTCACACACACACACACACACACACCCTCAGCCATGACTGCCTCCACCTGGGAGCCCCCCTGTCTTAGAAGACACTGAAACCAGCCAGTCATGCCAGCTGTCTGGCCACTGGGACGTGAGGTGAGACACTACAGAAAAGTGTCTGTTTTCGGATGAGAGACAAAATGAGACTCACCCCTCCATGGTCTCTTTCCCCTTTGTCGCAGCCTTGAGCATAAACATAAAGGCTGGAGTTGTGGCAGCCCTGTGAGGGCCATGAAGCAAGCAGCGTGGGGTGAAAGCCCATCTTGCTGAGGGTGGCAGAGTGGAAATCTAGGGGCAGTCTTCTCAGATGACCCTGTTGAGCTCCTGGGGTCCCCGCTGGGCCTCCTGAGCATGGTCCAGCTGACCTGCAGGAGTTCCCCTGGGCCTCCAGGTCAGACGGACAGAGCCTCCCTCCCCAGCCCTAGCTGCCTTTAGCAGCTGCCTGACCGACATCCGGGCACCTGTGCAGAAGCAAACAGGGCCCTGAGGCTGGTGTCCCAGTCAGGTGCTTGCCCATCTGCCGGCCTGGCTTGCCCCATTGCTAGGCAACCGGGAGCTTCTATAGAGAGCCCTTGACAAATGCAGACAGTCCTGTTTGCCGCTGTCTGGTGGCTTTTCTTCTGCTCATAATGGACACAGCTCCCCGTTCGTCTCTGCAATCCCTGGTGACAAGGCCGTGCCTGGGTGGCCATCGACTGCCCCCTCTGTGGACAGTCCCCTGGACCTGAGCGGGAGCTGGTGTCAGCCTGCGCCTGGGCACCTTTCCCATACTGGAGCCCAGAAGCCTTGCCCACAACAGCAGCACGCTGGTCGCCATGTCTTTCTAGCTCTTCCTAGAGAACTACTGTCCTTTAAGCCACACATTTGGGGAAATGGAAGGCCGATTCTCGGCTCAGGAGAAGCACCAGGTGGTGGACACCAGCCCAGAAGACCTGAAGGAAGCAGCCAGTGCAAGCGGCCGGCAGGAAACCGATGAATCAAGTGGTCCAGGGTTTTCTTGGGGAGAGGTGGGGGACTGTGGCAGGCCAAGAGGCCAGCCTGCCTCTAGAGAACCACCCTGAGACCCACTCGAGACCTCACGCTCCCCTCTAAAGGTGGAACTCAACAATGCTGACCACCTCGTTCTACAAACAGAACAGACTAAGTGAAGTCACCTGCAGATGGGCTCAAATCGCTGTCTCCAGTTGCAGAAAGAGACCCAGAGAAGAGGCAGACTCATCTGCAGCTACTCAGCCAAGGAGGCCCAGGCAGGCCACGCCCCAGCCTTACTTAGGTGGCAGCACCTTGTGATAAATGGTCAGGTACTTGGCCCAGAGCAGTGCTGTCCAGGGGTGCTTGAATTTTCTAGTGACTACATTAAAACACAGATCTGGCTGCCGAGGACATGCGCTTTATGCCTGTAATCCTAGCTACACAGGAGTCTGAGATCCTCTGGAGGCTCACAGTTTGAGGACAGGCAGGACAGAAAAGTTCGCTGAGGCTTTACCTTCAAAACAAAAAGTACAAGGCAGGCACTGGTGGCTCATGCCTATCATCCTAGCTACTCAGGAGGCTGAGATCCAAGGATCATGGTTCAAAGCTAACCCAGGCAAGAAAGTCCAGGAGACTCTTCTCGCCAATTAACCACCAGAAAAGCGGAAGTGGTGTTGTGTCTCAAAGTGCTAGAGTGGTAGCCTTGAGCAAACAGAGCTTGGGGACAGAGCCCAGGCCCTGAGTTCAAGTCTTGCAGCCGACAACAACAAACCCCAAAAAGTACCGGCTGAGGACAGCCCCGTGGTGGAACTTGTCTGGCATGCAGGAGGCTCTGAGTTCCACTCCCAACCCCACTCCTCCCCCCCAAATAAAATAAATAAACATAACTGAGATATTTTGTTAATCCCAGAATGTCAATACAGTGCTGTGACGACCTGTGATGAGTATTCCAAACTATTCCTGAGATTTTCCCTTCTGCTTTCCACCCTGACCTCAAAGTGGTCTGCACCAAGGGAACCCAGGGCTCTGCAGCCTCTTGTAGATGGCTGCTGCTGCCCTAACCTTGCAGGCGGTGGAGGAGGGGCCAGGTCTGCTCCCCTGGAAGGCTAGGAGGGGGTTGGGCTGGAGAGCGTGGAGGGCTGCCCTGCCCACCGCACCGGGCCTGTGGTCCCATGGCAGGCTCAAGGCAACAGCCCAGCTCCCAGACCTCACTGCCGGCCTGTAATCTCCTCCTGCACTCTGTGCCTATTGCTCCTCGTGGGCAGGGCTGTTGTGAGAGACCCTCATAGAGTCTAGAGCCTTCACAGTCCCACAGCCAAAGAGCTTTATAAATGGGAAGGTTAACGCTAAGCACCAGGACTTCCCACTACAGGGGATGCGCATTTGTGGAGAACATGTCAGCTTTGATTCCAATAATCCTCTTTGAGGACTTTGACCCACCAAAATAACGAGATATGTTTTTAAATACTTTGGGGTGAAGGTGTTTGTCAGAGTACATTTCAGTACCAATAATTCTCGGACAGGGTGGGGGGAGGGGACCTCTCCGCCCTCGGGGGGACTTTGCCTTCCAGGACCCAATGGGAAGTCCAGCCCAGTGCTCATAATCCCAGCAAAATGGGGTTATGACTACATTTTGTTTGTTCTAAATGTTGGTGAACACTACATCCAATATGTAAAGCAATTACCCACAGTGTTTACCTTTCCAGAGTTTTGAAAGATTGGATAATGTCCTTTGCATGTCCCCAAAGAAAATATACCTAGACAAAAAGAAAAGGGAGAAATAAAAGGAAACTATCATTACATATGCACACTTGAGAAGCTATAAAACTCGAAAATGCTGGGGATATGTGTGACCTCTCACCCCAAGAAAGACGAGAGAGGCATCCTGTCACCCTGAGGGCCACTCCCCAGAGGGGACAGAATTCCAGGAACATGTGACAAACATGAAGAGACCTCTCAGCTCTGGAGGGAACACTGCTGCCCTAGATTAAGGATGTCTGCTTGGATGGAGTAGCTTTACGTATAAGTAGCTTTCTGTATATGTATAAGAGTGTGCAATCCTTGTCTCCATGTGCCTGACTCATTTTACTTTGCAGAGCATCATATACTTCCATCCACAATACTGCCAAGCATAGAATTGCATTCCATTTTAACAAACCACGCCTAAAACTAGCAGATGGAGATAAATAGTAAAGATTAAGCGGAATTAATGAAATAGAGACTTAAAAAAAAACTATACAAACCATGAAACAAAGAGTTGATTCTTTGGAAAAAAGTACATAAGATGAATAAACCCCTAGACAATTAGACTAGAAAAAGGCCAGAAGAGACTCATGAGAATATTCTTTGAAAACTCAAATAAACTGGAAAAATCTAGAAGAAATTGAAAAGCACAGTCCCCTACTCCAGTTATCCTGGTTTCAGGGTTGTTGTTGTTTGTTTGTTTGCTGTTCTGGTCTTGGTGCTTGAACTCAGAGCCTGGGTGCTACCCCTGAGCACTTTTGCTGGAGGCTAGTGCTCTACCACCACACAGCTCCACTTCCATCTCTTTTTTTTCTTTTTTCTTTTTTTGTCGGTCGTGGGGATTGAACTCTGGGTCTAGGTGCTGTCCCTCAGCTCTTCAGCTCAAGGCAAGCGCTCTACCACTTAAGCCACTGCGCCACTTCCAGTTTTCTGGTGGTTTATTGGAGATAAGAGTCTCACAGACTTTCCTGCCCGAGATGGCTTTGAACCGTGATCCTCAGATCTCAGCCTCCTGCGTAGCTAGGATGACAGGCCTGAGCCACTGGCTCCCGACTAACTTTCATCTTTTTTGGTAGCTAATTGGAGATTACCATTTCATGGACTTTCCTGCCCAGGCTGACTTTGAGCCTCAGATCTCAGCCTCCTGAGCAGCTAGGATTACAGGCATGAGCCAATAGTGTCCGGCACGTTTCATCCCCTTGGGATGTGCTTTTTGGGAACAAAGACTGCACGCGTAAACATGGTAGGTTACCTGTAACAGAGTGTGGACCGAGTGTGTCACAGGGAAGACTCCCTCCGTGGCGGACAGACACTCCGAAAACCCAATGAAGTATCCGATTTTGAAGAGTCCCAGGATGACAGTGAGAGCCGCAAACAGCGTGATGGTACCTGTGTGGAAGGGGCCACTCCTGCGAATGCGGGCTGGTGTCATCACAAGTTAGTGGCAGGAAGGCCTCAAATCCTATCTCTGCAACTCCTAGAGACAGAGACACACTGGGGGGGGAGGGTGCTACGGGTGTCTGGAGCTTTGCCCGTGGCTCTTTTCTTTCTAGGGACATCGGCCATAGGCATCTCCATGGCCAGCATGAGACAGAGCTGGTCTTTCCAGCTGGTCTTTCCAGCTAGGATTGCCGGGGAAACCTCAGGCCCTGGGAGATGAACAGAGCTTCCACTGGTCTGGTAATCTCCTGAGGTCCCTAATTACCTCCTGCTCCTTTGATGGGCCCTGGGCATGTCCAGGGTGGGGTAGACTGCTTTCTCTCTACATCTCTCCAACAGTCCTCCCTGAGACGTAGCCAAACTAATGAATAAACAGGGTCTCAGAACGGCCCAGGGGACAGAGCAGACCCAAGCAAAGCCTGCCAGGGCACACGCTGTTCCCCGGTACATGCACCGCCTTGGGATGGCTGCAGTATACCAAGGGCTTCTCCAGCCACCACGTACTGGACCTAACTGGATTCTGTCTCTGACTCTGTGTCACTCTGTGTCTCTGTCTTTATCTCTGTCTGTCTGTCTCTCTCCCTCAGAAATGGATCATGTTCACAGGGAGCCTGCAATGTGTGGCTTCCCAGGCTTGGGAAACAGCACAGCTATCCATATACAGAGTAGGACCCCAAAGCTCCAAGTCAGTGCAGAAGAGCAAGAGAGAAGAAAGAGGACAGAGGAAAGATGGAGGATCAGAAATGAGGAAGAGAGAGAAGATAGAAGAAAGAAATCAGAGGGGAGGGAGGGGGGAGAGAGAGGAAGGGCGGAAGGAGGAGAGAGAAAAGAGGAAGGATGACCTTGGACAGTCAAGCCATTCTTTGGGGGGGGGGGGTTGTTTGTTGTTTTGTCAGTCAAGGGGTTTGAACTCAGGGCCCAGGCATCGTCCCTAAGCCTCTTTGTGCTCAGGGTTAGCACTCTACCACTTGAGCCATAACACCACTAATCGTTTTTGATTGGTTAATTGGAGATGAGTCTCACAGGGATCTTTCTGCCTGGGCGGGCTTTGAGCCATGATCCTCAGATCTCAGCCTCCTGACTAGCTAGGATTAGAGGGGTGAGCTATTCATTGAGTCAGGAAACCATGTCTCCCCCAAACGAAGGAGTTTGAGGCAGGAATTTGAGCTTCCTGGAATGTGTCCAATTTTTTTTCCAAAGTCAAAATGAACTACACAGCCCCTGAGAGTGGCAAGTCAAGGCTGAAGCTGAGCAAAGGAGTCCCACAGTGAGACCCAGAGCAGGAGGGGCGGGGCTGTGTGTGCCGACCTGGGAAAGGCAGGGACTCAGAGGCTGAGACTGGCTGGGAAGGAGCGGATGGAGGGGACCCGAGGTCGGGCACGAAGCGAAGGGTATTGGCCTTCTGCGGGAGCGTTCAGGCCCCTTTGCCCTGCAGACCTTTGCCCTGGATCGCACCCCTCCCCTCTGCCCCGCATCCCTCCTCTGCTCCCTTTGGCCGGCTTGGCGCCTGCTCTGTCCACAATCAACCCCTGTGCCCTGGCTTCTCCATGAGCTGTCAGGGGCCCGTCTTAGCTCAGCGCCCACCCCACGCCTCCACCTGGGTTGTTCTAGGAGGGAGCGAGGCGCATTCCCAGTGGGGCAGAGGGGAAGAAGCTGTGGGCAAAAAAAAGGGGGGGTCCCGGGCCAGGGGAGGGGGCGCGGTCAGACCCACGGAGAGGAGTGGTGGGACCTGCGGGGGAGGGGGGGCTCGGGAGCGCCCCAGGGGGATAGAAGAGTGTTGGCGGTGGGAGGGAACCGAATGCGGAAGGCTGGGAGCATGGGGTCCCCTCGTGAAGAGGGACAGCCTTTGGGAACGCACAGAGCCAGGATGAGGGCTTGAAAAGAGAGGAAGAGGCCCATAGGAGGAGGCCAGATCCCCGAGGCCTGGAGGGCCAGGAGGATGAAGCAAGGTGGGAGGAGGCAGGCTCGAGGAAGAAGGAAAGGCAGAACCAGAGCAGGGCCGGGGAGTGGGGCCGGGGAGCAGAGGCGGGGAGCCCCGGAGGCCCCAGGGCGGCCGGCCGCCGGGGGGAGGCCGGGAGGCCCAGGGCGGGCGCACTCACCGCGGAGCCAGCGCGCCCCGGCGTGCCGGTCCTTGGGACGGATGAGGCGGCGCTGGGCGTAGCTGCGCCCCACGTACCACAGCATCCAGAGCAGCTGCAGCGCCATGAGCGCCGAGAGCAGGCAGAGCAGGTCCCGCTGGCCCACGCCCGCCGCGTGCACCGCCAGGGCGAACAGGCACAGCAGCCCCGCCACGAACACGTTCAGCCCGTACTGGCTGCTCAGCGCCTCGGCCAGCTTCTGCGGGACGCCGGCGCGCGCGGGGCCCCGCCGGAGGCCGGGCGGCGCGGGGGGCGCGGGGAACCCCGGGCGTGTGGGGGGCGCGGAGGGCGCCGGGGATTCCCGGGACGCGGAGGGCGCAGGCGGTTTTGGGGCCCCCGGGGACGCGGAGGGCGCGCGGGGCGCGCGGGGTCCCGGGGGCGGGGGAGGCGTCGGGGACCCCAGGGACGCGGGGGGCGGGGGAGGCGTCGGGGCCCCTGGGGCCCCCGCGGGCGAGGTGGCCATGCCGGGTGCTGGGGTTGAGGCGAGCGCGACCTGGCCCTCGGGCATCGCGGAGACACAGCCGGCCCCGCCCGCCGCTCCTGGCCACTGCCCTTGCCCGCCCTCTGCCACCCAGCCCGCGCCCCTGCGCGCCCCGCCCGCCCTCCTCCTCCGGCCCCGCGATCTCTCCCCGTCACCGCCGTCCGCACACCTCCCACCCGCGCCCAACCTACGGGGCCCCCGAGTCTGCGCTCCCGCGGACGCGCCCGCACCCCTGCGTCCCGGAAGCTGGGCGCGGGGTCGGCCTGCCCGCAAATGGACTGGGGGGCACGGGAGGGAGGAGGGAGCAGGTCTGCGCCACCTTTGTGAGCCTACAGGTGTGGCTGGCGTGCGTCTGTCCATCCGTCTGTCCTTCTCCCTGCGCTGTCTCTGGCCTGTCTTTGAGTCTGCCCGGCTAGGCCCTGGAACAAGAGGAACGGGGCTTGCGGGGTTCTGCGTGTGCCGGCGGCCCGCCGCACACCCCTCCCAAAGCTCCACTCCGCGGCCGAGAGGGGCGGGGGTCAGGCCCAGACCCGGGAGCCCGGGCATCCCAAGCTCAGCGCGGCCCGCCGCCGAGCCCCCTCCACAGTGCCCGGGCTGGGCACCCGAGAGACGCCCCTGCCCCTGGCTTAGCGTGGAGCCCTCGTGAAATTTCTCTGTGATCCCAGTGGGCAGCAGTTGAACCTTCCGCAGGAGGCTAGGGAAAATGCCGGGGGCCCGGGCCAGGCTGGGGGCCGGGGCCAGGCTGGGGGACAGCGTCAGACTGGGGGGCAGCATCAGGCTGGGGGCCGGGGCCAGGCTGGGGGACAGCGTCAGGCCGGGGGCCGGGGCCTGGCTGGGGGTCGGGGCCAGGCTGCGGGACAGCATCCGGCTGGGGGACAGCATCAGGCTGGGGGACGGGGCCAGGCTGGGGGACAGCGTCAGGCTGGGGGACAGCGTCAGGCTGGGGGACAGCATCAGGCTGGGGGGCAGCATCAGGCTGGGGGCCGGGGCCAGGCTGGGGGACAGCGTCAGGCCGGGGGCCGCGGCCTGGCTGGGGGTCGGGGCCAGGCTGCGGGACAGCATCCGGCTGGGGGACAGCATCAGGCTGGGGCCGGGGCCAGGCTGGGGGACAGCGTCAGGCTGGGGGTCGGGGCCAGGCTGGGGGACAGCATCAGGCCGGGGGCCGGGGCCTGGCTGGGGGTCGGGGCCAGGCTGGGGGACAGCATCAGGCCGCGGGCCGGGGCCTGGCTGGGGGCCGGGGCCAGGCTGGGGGACAGCATCAGGCTGGGGGACAGCATCAGGCTGGGGCCAGCATCAGGCCGGGGGACGGGGCCAGGTTGGGGGACAGCATCAGGCTGGGGCCGGGGCCAGGCTGGGGGCCAGCATCAGGCCAGGGGCCGGGGCCAGGCTGGGGGTGCTCCACCTTGCTTTCATTCATGTCATCCGCTTCGACTCGGCCTTGTGAGATGATTGTCCTCACAGGGGCAGCAGCGGTCAGCGCTGGTGCCTGGTGATCCTGAGCAAGTTCCTGAACCCCTCTGGGCCTCAGTCTGATGGCTAGCAGACCCCTGCCAAGCTGGCCCTCCTGCTAATGAGAGAAAAGCTTCCACCCGTCACAGCCACTGCAGCCATCCTGGCCTTAAAGCCCTCCCTCTCCCCCCCTCCCCCCCGCCAGAGATAAACACTCCATGTCTGTCAGAAAACTGGGGGAGATACTATGGACTATGAAATCTAAGTTTCTGTCCAGAAACCAAGAGTATTGACCCAAACGTTCCTTTCCAGCCAGGCACTGGCTGTAATCCTAGCTACTCAGAAGGCTGAGATGTGAGGACTGACATTCATTCAAAGCCAACCCTGGGCAGGAAACCCATGACTTCTATCTCCAATTAACCACCAAAAAGCTGGAAGTGGAGTTGTGACTCAAGTGGTAGAGTGCTAGCCATGGGCAAAAAAACCTCAGGGACAGTGCCCAGGCCCTGAGTTCAAGCCCTAGGACCTTAGGCACACACACACACACATAAATCCTTCTAACTGCATTTCTCTTCGTTATTTTTTGTTGCATAAAACCAATAGAGTCAGGAACTTTGATTCCTTTTTCAAAGTCCATAGAATGACCATTGCTAAGTGGCAGGAGCTCCAGGAATGACCCAGGTTTAGACCTAGACTTGATTAGTCCCTCTCTGGTTCGTATCCTAGTGAACCAAGTTAGGCACCGTCATCCCTGTGTGCCTGTCAATCTACCATGCTGGCTTCTGCAAGAATGTCTCAACTGCGTCCCACTGTGGGAGGCGGTGCTCCACCCTGGCTGTACACGGAGATCATCCAGGGACTCTTCAAGACAGCTTCGTCCTACACCTACACCACAGCCACACACTGGGCAGCTAGTGTCCAGCCCAGCTTTAAAACGGTCTTGATACTGTTAAAATCACAACACACATCTCTACAACATTCCTGACTTTAATGACAACTTTGGGCCTCATCATTTGTTATTCTTACAAGGGAATATTTCCCTCTCAGGTTATTTAGAAGCAGTCAGATGGTTGACACCATTTTTAAACAGTTATAATTAAAGCAAAAGGCCCACAAGTAATGTGCATAGGAGTTAAGAGGAGCAGGGACAGGCGTGACCCTGTTCAAATTAAAACATTTCTTTTTGGAGGAGCCATGATGGAAGCCCCTGACAGCCAGCTGGCCTGTGAATCCCAGGTGGGCTGGGTCCCTGGGTCCCTGTGAGGAAGCAAATCACAGAGGAAGAGCGTTTCCCTGTCCATATGTGCTTTATATTGTTCCCCAAATAGGATTCTGAAGTCAGGGCCTGGCAAGACTTTCTGGGTGGGTAAGTCCTGATTCTTTTATGCAGCCACCATCCCCACTGAAACAGCCACACCTTCTACACATTACCCCTGGGGTTTGAACTGAAAAGGCAGTATTTTTCTTTGTTCCACCTCTGAGATTCAATACAGAGAATTCCTTTGCATGCTATTGTCCTTCCAGACTTCTCCAAGAAGAAAAATGCTGCTGACATGGTCTTCTGAATCATAAAGAAATTGAGTTTGCAAGAGGAGAGATGCTTAATTTGAACAGGTGCTCAGGATTTGTTGTTTGTAAATATATTCCCTTTTATTGAAAACCAGACTGAATAGCTATCAATTATGGATGACTTTGGGATTTTTTTTTTTTTTTTTGGGTCTGGTCATGGGGCCTGAACTCTGGGCCTGGGCACTGTCCCTCAGCTCTTCAGCTCAAGGGTAGCCCTTTACCACTTGAGCCACAGCGCCACTTCCGGCTTTTTTCTTTTTGCTTATGTGGTGCTGAGGAATCGAACCCAGGGCCTCATTCATGCAAGGCAAGTGCTCTACCACTGAGCCACCTTCCCAGCCCCAGACTTTGCGATTTTTTTTGAAATGTCTTCCAATTTGGACCCCAATTGTGAAAAGCACATTTGAGACATAGCAAGTTTGTAATGACAAAATATACAAGAAAGTTATAAAAGTATTTTATTGAAATTTAATCAATTTCCATTTGGTCCTATAATCCAACAGACCTGCTAGGATGGGGTGCACAGTCATTCCAGAACCTGGGGTAAAGGCACAGGACACCAGAATTCCTTTACACACACTCAGTCATTTCATACCAGAAACAATTTAAAACCGTGGGAGCACACTATGCCCAAGATTCAAACAGATGAATCTTGCAAAACAGATTATATCTGTATAATACAAACTCCTAAGATATTCAAGAATCACTTGAGTTTGAGAAATATACAAGTGAACTAGAATTTATTCTGATTTCAATTGAATGAATCTACCCAGCCCCAAATTTCCACCACTCACGCAGTGGATACAAGAGCACACTGTAGCCTTCCGTGTCCCTGTGATGCTCCAGCCAGCGGAGGGGCCTGCAGTCTGAAAGAAAAGAGTATTTCTGTCCCTAAGCTCATGAGTAAACATTAAAAAGCACAGTGTAATCTAAACACCTCTGCCACCAATCACCAACCCAGGTGGGTAGGAAGTCCTGTAGGAAACGTAAACTCAGTAGCCCCCAAAGGGGAAGGATGGGGGTCGGGGTCACCTGTATCGAGACCCACGCACTACTTGAGATGACACAGGTGCCCAGGGACCAGCCGTCCACCTGCACCAGGCACTCGGGACCCTCGGCAGCGCATGTCTGGAGAACGCTGTCCACATCGGCATGGCACAGGGCACTAGCAACCACTGAGAGCTGGAGCAGTAGGTCCACATCCATCTCCTTCAGCCGGCCTCAGGCAGCCCGTGCTGCTGGTCAGCTGAAATGTCCATCTCCTCCAGGTCTGTGGGCGCTGGTGTGGGTATCACTTTCCACACACAGCAGCTTGCAAAGCCCCGGGAGTGCCACTGCCACCACGGTCCTCTCGCCACCCCTCAGCCCGGTGCCTGCTCATGCCTGCGGTGCTGCCTGCATGCGCAGCTTAGCTGCCACTGGAAAAGCAGACCACGCACGGGGCGGGCGGTCTGCTGGGACATAGGAATCCTCTCACTGACATGAGAAAAATAAAGGTTGGCATGTCATCCATCACGTTTCTTAATGGAACGTGGCAGAACCATGTCCCACAATTGCTCAAGAACACGCAGTGTCTTCAGTTGTTGCTGTGCATGCTGAGAGAAGCGGACGCCTGTCTCAGGTGTGTGACGTGATCTACACGGAGCAGTGCCCATACAGTCATCATGGGGGCCTTCCTTACAGAAGGACGGAGCTCTGTTCCTTTCCCCTCAGAGTTCACCCAGCGCTGCTGCTGGGGCAGACAAGCTGGGATCATTCACAGGCAGCCTGTGGTCCCTGCACAGAGCACCAGGGACCTTACCTTCAGAGATCAGCCGAGGAGTGAGATGAGCATCACCACCCCCATGAACTGCGTGAACAGCACCAGGGGAGTGAAGAACGACCACACATTCCACAGAGCAATGTTGAAGCTGAAAAGCACCAAACACACACCTTCAATGACTCAACTAGACATGGAGAATCGAGATGTAAAGAGCTCAACTGGACGCCACTCTTCCAGACCACTTCTTTCTTCTTTGTTTGTGCTGGCCCTAGGGCTTGAACTCAGGGCCTGAGAAATATTCTGGAGCATTTTTACTCAAAGATGGCATCCTACCACTTGAGCCACAGCTCCACTTCTAGCTTTTGGCTAGTTAATTGGAAATAAGAGTCTTATGAACTTTCTTCCCTGGGCTAGTTTCAAACTGCAATCCTCAGATCTCAGGATTATAGGCATGAGCCACCAATACCTAGTTTTGATCCCAACCACGCTTTCTATACAACAATTTCTTAGCCATGAGGCTTGGCCAATGTTGGAAAGAAAAAATGTACACACACTGAACAAACTTGTACAACTTCCCCCAAGTTCCTGGGATGGAGTCACTAGAGGGAGCTGGCATAGCTTAACAGAAATGATGTTAAGTCTCAAAGCCAGGGTGGGCAATAAATCAAGAATTATGACCGTAGCCTGCCTTTATGACCACACACACTACCAAACTACTTTGGCCCAAAAGAGAGACAAAAGCATTTCTCTTGTAAATAAGGAAAAGTGTAATCATTTGTAAGATGCTATTCAATTTTTCAAGAAAAACAATTCCTGTACCAAAGTAAAAAAATAAAACCTTATGACTGAACTATAAGAAGTTATTAGAAAGCATTGTAAATGTTCCATGCAGTTATTCATTTTAATACTTAATAGACCAATAAATACCAATGTTAAGAAGCCGCCATCGCACAGGGGTCTTGGTCATAGGAGGAGATGTGATACACACGTGTGCCCACAGCACTGACAGGCTAGCAATAACCACACCATAATGTCAAACATCCTTTTTGGGGGGGTTGGTCGCAGGGCTTGAACTCTTGGCCTGGGCGCTGTCCCTCAGCTCTTCAGCTCAAGGCTAGCACTCTACCACTTGAGCCACAGTGCCACTTCCGGTTTTCTGAGTGGTTTATTGAAGATAAGAGCCTCTCGGCCTTTCCTGGTCTTTCCTGCCCAGGCTGGCTTTGAACCGCAATCCTCAGATCTCAGCCTCCTTAGTAGCTAGATTACAGGCGTAAACCACCACACCCGACTCAAACATCCTTAAATTTTCACTGAAATTAAGTCACAAAAAGCACATTTAAACTGAGTGTGTATAAAGGTGTACAGCTTTCCCAAAATAAAATTCAATAAATATAAAGAAAGGAAAAAAACCTGAAGAGTTCTACAGTATGTGAAGTGCAGTATTCTCTGACTGGTGGATTGTGGGATGTATTTATCTTCTGATTTGCAGATTCATCTTCAGTGAGCAAGAATTACTTTTTTTATTCACTCATAAAAACCTGGTTTTCTCATTGAGTTGTTAGCTTATGAAGATGGATAGTCACTGGGACACTGATTCACTGAGAAAAAAATGACTGCACGTGACCACAGGGAGCTGGTGATACAGGCCCGATGTGAGCATGCTCGGAGGCTGCAGTGCTACTTAAGAGGGGACACTGATATCCATCATTATGTGCTAATATGGACAGTGCAGCAGGGAGGAGCAAGGAAAATGGAGTCAGCCCTGGGGAGTCCCTGGGGAGCCATTCCAGGAGCTCCAGATCGCAAGCTGCATGTGCGATTACTCACAGGGCACAGGGTTTGCATGTAACCTTCACGTACTCATGTGCACTTCAATCTAACACCATGTAAATAGCTATTAGGCTGTACTATTCAGAGGATGATGACAAGAGAACGCGGCTGCAGATGAAATTAGGTATTTTCTAGTCAGTGATGGTTTTATCTATGGATGTAGAACCCAGGAATGCAGAGAGCCAGCGATACAACCCTTGTGGAACAGTCTGGCATTGTGTACTGAAGTTCTATATGCGCACCTTCAGAAAGCTGACAGAGACATATGCACACTCAGTGCCACAAGAGAGATGAACAAGAGTGTTCTCAACAGTATCCTTTCTAACTACATGCTGCAAATAGCTCATACACATCAACAACAGAATGAACAAGCGGTGACTCAGTTATACATAGCGATGAACAGCCACAGGAATGAACCAGCACAAACCACACATAGTGTTACACGTACACATGTGCTGCATAAACAACTTCCCTGCAAGTTCAAAAAATATGCCAAGTGAAGACAGCATTTAAGGGATGTGAAAGTAACTATCAGGAAGGCTGGTGGGAGGGAGGGACCAACAGCAATCACCTGTGGCAGGTTATGGATGGAGGGGCAGTTCTTTCTTGACTCAGTGAGATTTATACCAATGCTCATTTTGTGAATACAGTTTATTCAGTGCTCTCTTTGCTTCTGAATATATTGTTCACCACATTTTTGCATATATTGTACATCACAATAAAAAATATCTTAAAAGCATAAGATACATACAGAATGTGACCATTTGTGTATTAAATAACCAGCTCCGTGAAGAGGGAGACAAACCAGCTGAAGAACATGAAAGCTAGGAGACTACTTTTCTATGAGATTTTGCTTCTTCTTTTGCATTTTGGAGCTTGGTCATCATTACTGACCACATAGGAAAACTGGGGTCCACTCAACTTACCAAACTCCTGATGCAATAAATGTGGCAGTTGTAACAGGTACCAACGTTGGATACTTGGCGTCATATTCTTTAATTCCATGGTACCACTCCAGATAGAGAATGCAGTACAGTGCAACAGATAAGCTGACCAGCAACAAGGCCCCTCCAAAGAGAAGCCAGCTGTGCAGAGGAAGACCAAGACAACATGAGTGTTAATAAGATGGAGAAGCAGACAGCTCAAGTTTTGTTAACAACCCACAGTCTGCTTCTAAGAACATCAACTGGAAAAAGGTGCAGAGGGGCCCACAATTTCAGTCTCAGCTTTCAGTCTCAATCTGTTAGGAGAGGAGGGTGGGGGAAAAAAATGTATACACGAGTGAGAGGACAAAAAAATCAAACTTTGTTTATTTATTGTCAGTGCGGTGCTGAAACTCAGGGCCTGGGGCTGTCCCTGAGCAATTTCCCTCAAGGCTACCACTTTGAGCCACAGCTCCACTTCCAGTTTTCTAGTAGTTAATTGGAGACAAGAGTCTCAAGGACTTTCCTGCCCAGGCTGGCTTCAAATGATGTTCCTCAGATCTCAGCCTCCAGTATATCTAGGATGACAAGTGTGAGCCACTGGCACCCAGGTAAAAGTTAGATTTTATATTCTGCACATATACACATTTTCATAAACCAAGCAACCATGAATGAACCCTGGCCACAGCAATGTAAGAACACCAGTTTTCCAGTTTGTCCTAAAAGTCTGAGTGTGAGAATCATAAAGATCTTCTTCACAGATCTTTAACTCCTCCAGGGTAAAGTTCCTTAGAATACTGAAAATCAATTTAGGAAGACTATAAATTCTCTCTCATAAAAGACACCTGCACTGCTGGTCACAGGGTGACTCATGCCTACAATTACAGCAACCTGGGAGGCTGAGATTGTCAGGACTGCATTTCAAGACCAGCCCAGGCAGAAACACGAGGTGTGCCTGTTATCCTAGATGCCAACACTGCTTCCTTTCCTGTTACCTGAGGCCTTCACATTGTTCTCTACTGTAAAACCATGAGGTGTACTTCTGTTCTACATCAACTTGAGATCAGACCAAAGGGATGTCAGTGAAGTAAATGAGAGACTGTATTATGGCCACAAAGCGTGACTCCTCCTCCCACTGGCGAATTTTATTGCAACTCTCAGTTATAGCCTAGTTGTTGTACTCTTGAAGTTGTAACTACTCTGAAACACACCCTGAGACCAGCCACACCAGCTGTCACTGGCCAGAGTTCTCACTCCCTCCTCCCAGTTCTCTAGCACTTTGTCCTCACAAAGACTATCAGTCCTCTTCCTTGCTTCCATGTTCTCCAAATGGATTGAGTTTCTTAATTACCTTCCGCACCCTACAACAGTAGTTCTGAAAAAGCACTCAAATGACTTCCAGCTCTCATCCACTGTTATGTATGCCCAGAGCACACACACACTTAGTTACCTTCTTTTTCTCACCCTTCTGAAGCATAACTGACAAATTCAAATTGTATACATTCAATGTATACAACATGATTTAACATATATATAACATTTAAGTTCTACTCTGTAAATTTCATTTATTCAATATAGTATTATTTATGACCACTTTGGGGATAGATCCCCAAAGATTTATCCTTTGCATAACTGAAAAGTTGTCCTCTTTAGACTAAGTGTTAATTAAGCATTGGAAAAATTCAGTTGAGAAAATGAAAAATAAGACAAGGATGATTAACTTACAAGGCAAATGTTTCCTTACCTACTAGTATGAAAATTATCTTGAAGGGTTTTAAAAAAATCCACATAATAGGTCACAACAATGGATGCCACAATCCAGAATGCAGAATGGATATTAAGTCTTGGAAGAGGTTTCTCCTTTTTCTCAACAGCAGTAGAGGTTTCTGCAAGGGAAATTTTAACTTAAAGTTAAATAGGAAAAAATATCTATTTTATGTCAAATAAGATAACTTCCAACAACCAGACTCTCTCCCACTACAGCACCAACTACTTCCCTAAAGCCATCATGATAGGTTTTTTACCTGCAGAACAATATTTGACTTATTTCCTTGAAATGAATTGCAAAATCATACACTCTCATACCCTTTCCAATATAATGATGCATAGGAATTTTAATATCTTGCTTCGCCTTCCTCTAGGAAGTAGTCCTGTTAATTTCCCAAATGCAAATGTCAGCAAACCAAATGGACTGTGAGCTTCCAAAAACACTACTTATAACAAAATATTTTAACCGTCACCTTTAGAGGCAGCGTAAACATGGTAAAAACACACCAGAGCCCTAGTCCCAGCACAGTACTGTGTGGACAAGTGGTTAGGTCATTTCTTCCTTCTGGGACTTTAACTGAAAGGTGATTTCGATCTGCCTTCTAAGTTCATGAGAACCAGTCTATGTAGAAGGTTCTGGGTCTTTAAGTAGGCATCAGATTTCTGTGAAAGGTGGTAGGAGAGCTTATCCATAATACAAATTTCTGGGAGATACCCTCAAAACATAGAAATCACCATGCACGTTTTAATTTTGAAAAGCTAAAGAATGGACATTTAGGCCGGGTGCCGTTGGCTCACACCTGAATTCCTAGCTACTCAGGAGGTGGAGATCTGAGGCTCGCGGTTCCAAGCCAGCTGGGGCAGGAACGTCCATGAGCCTCTCTTACCTCCAATTAACTACTCAAAAAAGCCAGAAGTGGCCCTGTGGCTCAAGTGGTAGAGCGCTAGCCTTGAGCAAAAGAAGCTCAGGGACAGCGCCCAGAGGTCAAGGCCCAGGACCAGCAAAAATAATAATAATAATGGACATTTACAACATATGTGGCAAAAATACCTAACATGAACTCTCCCAATCTTTATCCCCAGTACCGCTATGCAGGGGCAACCACCGTTAACACCTAAGGAGTACGTCCCTGTTCTGTGTGTCCGCGGGTTACGTCTTCCGCACGCAAAGGCGGCACTGCGCACACCGTTCTGCCTGCCCTTCCCTCTGAAAATCACCCACACTCTCTGCCGTGCGCCGGCTTCCTGACGATGGACAAACATCCTCACAAGCTAGATCCCGCGACAGGGCACGCTGGGCTGGCACGACGCCGTGTGCGCCTCGGGGCTGGAACCCGGTGCCCCCTGCCCGCCCCGGCCTCCCCCCCCCCCGAGCCGGCCGCGCCGGGCGCCCCCGCTCGCTCGGAGCGCGGCCGGAGAGCGCCTCACCCGTCCCGGCGTCGCCCTCGCGGCCCAGCCTGGCCTCGGCCCCGGCCGGGAACTGGTAACGCCGCCGGAGCTGCTCCCGAGCCCACGGAGCGTCCATCTTGCACCGCCCCACCGCGCGGCGGAAGTGACGTCATCACTCGCGTCACTTGCGGCGTGCGCGCTGCGGTTGCGCGGGGCCTCGGCGTCGGCCGGGACTCCGGGTCGTGTCTTGGGTCTCCCGGCCACGAGGCCCCGTGGACGGCGGCTCGGGACGCAGGGGCGGCCGCCCTCCGCGGTGCCCCGGCCCGTCCCGCCCCAGGCCTCGGCCCCGAGACCGCCTCCCATCAGCACCCGCGCTCCCGGAGAACCCGGTGCCTTCCCGAGCCGGCCACCCGCCCTCGGGTCGGGGCGGACGCCGGGGCTGCGGCGGGAGGGGCGGCGGCAGCGGGGGACCCCGCCCCGCGCGTGTCCCCGCCCCGCGCGTGTCCCCGCCCCGCGCGTGCCTCCGCGTGTGCCCCCGCCCCGCGTGTGTCCCTGCTCCGCGCGTGCCTCCACGTGTGTCCCCGCCCCGCGTGTGTCCCCGCCCCGCGCGTGTCCCCGCCCCGCGCGTGTCCCCGCGTGTCCCCCCGCCCCGCGCGTGTCCCCGCCCCGCTCGTGTCCCCGCGTGTCCCCCCGCCCCGCGCGTGTGTCCCCGCCCCGCGCGCGTGTCCCCGCGTGTCCCCCCGCCCCCCGCGTGTGTCCCCGCCCCCCACGTGTCCCCGCCCCGCGCGTGCCTCCGCGTGTGTCCCCGCCCCGCGTGTGCCTCCGCGTGTCCCCCCGCCCCCCGCGTGCCCCCGCGTGTCCCCCCGTCCCCCGCGTGTGTCCCCGCCCCCCGCGTGTCCCCGCCCCGCGCGTGCCTCCGCGTGTGTCCCCGCCCCCCGCGTGCCCCCGCGTGTGCCCCCGCCCCCCGCGTGTCCCCGCCCCGCGCGTGCCTCTGCGTGTCCCCCCGCCCCCCGCGTGTCCCCCCGCCCCGCGCGTGTCCCCCCGCCCCGCGCGTGCCTCCGCGTGTGTCCCCCGCCCCGCGCGTGTCCCCCCGCCCCCCGCGCGTGTCCCCCCGCCCCCCGCGCGTGCCCCCGCGCCCCCCCCCGCGTGTCCCCCCGCCCCGCGCGTGCCTCCGCGTGTGTCCCCCGCCCCGCGTGTGTCCCCGCTCCGCGCGTGTGTCCCCGCCCCCCGCGTGTGTCCCCGCCCCCGTGTGTCCCCGCGTGTCCCCCCGCCCCCCGCGTGTGTCCCCGCTCCCGCGCGTCCCCCGCGTGTCCCCTGCCACCCACGTGCAAACGGCGCCCTCACACGCCGCACACACACGCCTCGGTGCCACAACCGCCCTGAGCGTGCGCTAGATCCCCAACGCAGAAAGGGGGTCCACTGAGTCTGGTGACACTCCGGCCTGCTTGGCAACCTTGGTCAAGAAATCGGCTTCCCTGAACCTGTTTCCTCTTCCCCCCTGAAAGGGCTTCTAGACATATTGTGGGGCTTAGCACCTGTGTGTGACTCACACACAGATTTCTCTGCTTAGGGATGAAATTGCTCTTCCCAGCAAACTGCCCTTCCCACCACTCTTAACAGCCATAAACGTGTTGCCCTCGATCACAACTTTTCCCCATCAGTAATCCTGTTGATTACTGTTCCCTACTGAGCCCGGTGCTTAGCTACTCAAACACTGACTGATGAGGACCTGTTTGCTGGGGACTGCTAGGCCCTCTTATCAGGCAGTGGAGATAGAAATGAGTAAGAGATGGTTTGCTCTTGAGGTGCTCCAGGTTCAAATGGGACCACAAGATAGTGAAGTGCAGTACCTATGACTGTTAACAGCACTGTTCTATTAATTCAACCAACATACATTTTCTGAGCAGCTCCATGTAGTAAAATACTGAGAACCCGGGTAAGAATATAGTGGCAGACACATCAGTACAGTGCCATTATAGAAATACAGTACGTGGCTGGGCACAGGTGGCTCACACCTGTAATCCTAGCTCAGGAGGCTGAGATCTGAGGATCGCGATTCAAAGCCAGCCTGGGCAGGAATGTCTGTGAGGCTCTTTTTTTTTTTTTTGGTCGGTCATGGGGTTTGGACTCTGGGCCTGGGCGTGGTCCCTCAGCTCTTCAGCTCAAGGCTAGTGCTCTACCACTTGAGCCACAGCGCCACTTCCGGCTTTTTCTGTTTATGTGGTGCTGAGGAATTGAACCCAGGGCCTCATGCATGCTAGGCAAGCGCTCTACCACTGAGCCACCTTCCCAGCCCCTGTGAGACTCTTTTTTTTTTGTTTTGTTTTGTGTCTGGTCGTGGGGCCTGAACTCTGGGCCTGGGCGCTGTCCCTCAGCTCTTCAGCTCAAGGCTAGCACTCTACCACTTGAGCCACAGCGCCACTTTCAGGTTTTTTCTTTTTGCTTATGTGGTGCTAAGGAATCGAACCCAGGGCCTCAGGCATGCAAGGCAAGCGCTCTACCACTGAGCCACCTTCCCAGCCCCCGCTGTGAGACTCTTATCTCCTATAAACCACTAGAAAACCGGAAGTAGTGCTGTGGCTCAAGTGGTACAGTGCTCACCTTGAGCTGAAGAGCTCTGGGGCAGCACCCAGGACTAGAGTTCTAGCCCCACGACCAAGGAAGGGAGGAAGGGGGGGCAGACGCTGGTGGCTCACACCACCAGAAAACAAAAGAAATACAGTACATGGGAACATGAGAGTACAGAGTGAAGTACTTCCCTAGGTGGAGATGTATTCTGCTGGGGAATTTGAGCCACCAGGAGGAGTAGGTTGGTGTGGATTGAATGCAGGGTTGCATCACTCAGAAAGCTGCTTAAGTAATAAAATCTTAGTCAGCATTTTTTACTATTGTGTGTCCAAAGTCACAATGCCTGTGTACCTCTGATTGTATAAAATATTTATTGAAATGAACTCTAGATAATGGAAACAAGTAGTTGTTTCTTTGTTTTTGCTTTTTTTTTGGGGGGGGGGGGAGTAATCAGTTGTGGGCTTGAACTCTGGGCCTGAGTGCTGTTCCTAAGCTCTTCAGCTCAAGGCAAGAGCTCTACCACTTGAGCCACAGCCCCACTTCTGGTTTTCTTGTCGTTAATTGGAGATTACAGTCTCATGGACTTTCCTGCTCCGGCTGGCTTTGAACTGTGATCCTCAGATCTCAGCCTCCTGAGTAGCTAGGATGTACAGGTGTGAGTGGATGTACAGGTGTGAGCCACTGGCACCTGGCTCTCTTTTCTTTTTGTCTTGTTTGTTCATTTACACAATCTGCCTTTGGGAGGTTAAGGGGGGGCACAGAAATGGAGCAGCAGAGGTATTCACTAGACACTATGTTGAAAATGAACTGTATAACATGTGGACAGGGGTGGGAGGGAAAAATGGAGAGAGGGAAAGGGTAACATTGTCCAAAAAGAAATGTACTCCTTACTTCATTTATGACCTCTGTATGTCACCTTTATAATAACAATAAAAATATTTTCTGTATGTGTTGGGTATTTATAAAAAGAACATGGTCAGAAATATTCAGGGAAAGAGTCAAGTTTCTAGGAATTTATTTCTGTTATGTCTTTGGCCTTTGAACACTTTTGGGGAACAAAGAAACCAACAGCTGGGTAGATCCTATGGCCTTTATAAACAATACCTCTTTTTTCTTTTTCTTTTCAGACTCCTAAAGAACTAGATTCCTCTCTTCTTTGCCCTCTCTTCTTTCTCTTGTACAAGGTTAGCTGTCTTGTTCATAGAAAGCAGTCTTCCCATCAAATACAACCTTCTGTTGATTATCTCTTCGAAAAAGGGTCAGCTCTGGGTCTCCCTTGAAACCAAATAGTCTCAAGAGTATCATAGTGATTTGAGGTTTTCCATACGTGGTATGTTCAGGGAAGATCAAGTTTCCCCTTTGCTGGTTTCAGAGCCTTTGTATTTGTATCTGAAATCCTTCCAGCTCTTTTCCCCCCTGGTATTTTATATGGCTCTACTTGTACACCATCCTGATGATACTTAAGAGCTGGTTGGAAAAATTCCAGCATTTAATGACCACATCTTCTTTGCTGGAACCCATCAAATAAGTTTGTCAATGTGAATACTGTGGCATCTTAATTGTAGTCATACAGTATTACATTACAACCAAGCAATGTTGTTCAATGCAGACAACTTGTGGGAAAAGGATGAATTTGACCATGACCTGAACAGCATGACCTTCCCTTAGCAATATGACTCAAGGCCAAGATGACTGAATCCTGTTTCTGTGAGTTCTTGGGCAAGTTTTTTCATTGTGCTAAGAATAGACTTCCTATCTGTAAAACAGCGGGTACCAGAGAGGAAAGAGGTGTTCACATAGCTGAGTGCCTGGTGTGACATAATGTACTCAGCAATAGTAATTGTCAGTCACATACCCCACTGTCTTACCAGTCCTGCAAGAGCTGGCCCTCCTCACTTCATAACCAGTTTTTCCTTGTCTTTAGACTCTGGCTTTTCAGTGTTCACATTATCAAGCGTTCTTTTTTTTATGTATCATTTTTATTATCTTGAGGTAGTTGTACAAAGGGTTTCAACGCAGCATGGCTATTTATGAGTACAAAGTACCTTCATCCATGTCACCCCTTCCATCACCCTCTCCCAACCCCATCTGTTTTTTTTTAAGGTGATAGAAAAGTTTATTAGAAAAATAGAGGGCTGGGAAGGTGGCTCAGTGGTAGAGTGCTTGCCTTGTATCCATGAGGCCCTGGGTTCAATTCCTCAACATTACATAAGCAGAAAAAGCCACAAGTGGTGCTGTGGCTCAAGTGGTAGAGTGCTGGCTTGAGCTGAAGAGCTGAGGGACAGCGCCCAGACCCAGAAAGACCCACGACCGACCAAAACAAAACAAAACAAAACAACAACACAAAAAAAAAAAACCCAGGAATTTGGAAGCCAGTTGTCTGGCTATCTGCCATTACTCATTCTGCCCACTGTCTATTTTGACCTCGGCCTTTTATTCTCTGCTTTATGTTATTTTCCTCTCTGGGATAGTTTGTCCAGAATAGTAGCTGACACCTAGGATTGGATAAAGATTAAGAACACTATCACATTGCCTAGCATGCATGAAGCCCTGGGTTTGATTCCTCAGTACCCTATAAACAGAAAAGGCCAGAAG